GTCCCTTATTTTTCTTATCAAGATGTGTGTCTTAGTAACAGTTCGTGGATAGGAGATTCAAGCTTTAGGCATGATTCCTTTTGGTCGCTCTTATAATTTTCTGATGTCAGTTTTTTTTCCCACCGGATCCCCTCTGTTGTGGGGTGGTAATGATGTGTGGCCATGGTGATCCACGCCTATGTCTACACCAATTTGCACTTTTATTGCCACGAGGGATTCATTCAGCTGGCTTTTACTGCATGAAAAAGGCCTATAATGAGATGTAGCAACAACTAGGCCAATTATATGGACCCTTTATCTTGACCTAAGCGTGAAGACTTTTGAATAACGCAAGGCTGTGTTTTAATGAATTAATTTTATGAAAATTTTTAAATAACTTCCCTTCTACTTCATGTTTCTCTTATTTTCTGATAAACCAAACACAGCCTAAATAAACCATTTTTACAAATCTATCAGCCAAGCTTGGAAAGAGAAAAGGGGAGAAGGGAAAGGCTGCAAGAATAATATAGTGGTCATTGATAAGTGCATGTGCACCATGGATTTAATGATGCATCGGCCACCCATGAAAATTTACTTTGCCGCCAAGGCAATCACCCTTCAAACAGGTAATAAAGAAAAAAAAGGAACAATTAGACTTGTTTGAGCCTTTGATCACATAAGTAAATATGTATGTATGTATGTATGTATGTATGTATGTATGTATGTATGTATGTATAAATAACTTACTGAAAAAGTTATTAAGTGTTAACCACCTTATTGCAGGTGCCATCTATTATAAGAATATAAGGAATAAATCCAAGCAACAACCCTAATGGGAGAAAACCCTTTTTTTCATATAAGCAAGCTAGCTATAGAGTCCAGAACAAAATCATCAGGTTTTCATTGTATAAATCTCAAAAAGGTTGACTTTTCCCCCTTTCCCTTAACTCACATAGGACATAGCTAACCAAATAATGAATTCAACAGGAAAACAAACATTTTGCATCATGAGTTTTGCAATTTTGTATTACCTGATGAGGATTGAGGATTAGTTCTAGCAATTCTTACCAAAATGTTATAAGGTTACAATCACTATAGAAATAAAACAACACTCAAACTAATCATACAATTGACAAATTTATACCTTCAACATTTATTTTATACATATGTATAGCATAGACATGGGAATTGATCAATAATGAAACTGCCTACTTAAGGGCAATATTATATGAAATTTAGGATCAGTTTGGAAAGAGTATAAATACAAATATGTACTGTTTTAAAAATATCATATATATATATATAAAAGGTTTTATATTATATATATTTGTATTGTACTCTTTCCAAATGGAACCCTAAGAGGTAAATCAAGTACAATATAATACTATTATGAAGGATTGATAAAACTGTCTTTAACAAATCAGGAATTCAGGATACGTTCAAATTGCATAATCCCACTTTGTACAAGGTAACTTGATATATAGATAAGTAGATGGATTGGAGTTTATTTCCTTTATTCGAAAGAGCCCTTGACCACTACATAAAATCAGGTTGAGTATGAGCCTGAAAAAATATTTTAAGTCTCAATATAATCAGTGGGGTGCTCATTCAAGGAGAAAAAAAAAATTCAATGGATTGATATAGGTAGGTGGAGGTAAAAGGGGCTTTTAATTGGTTCAAACCCGTTTAATTGCAGGCTTTAAATGATGAGTTCTCAGCAGAGAAGAATTCATGAAAAGATTAGACTTTGGAGAGGGTGAGTAAAGCAACCTTGCTTAAAGATATGGCTGTACACCAGCTTGCTTAAAGTGGATGGAGCGTATCGGCCTGATTTTTTACCGTATATATATATTAAATCTATTCAAAAGGGTCGGTATCCCAAAGCCCTAGCAATAGCTCACTGATTTTCGGTCCTTGATTAAGATTACTCTGTGATAATAATATTGTATCAACAGTTCATTGCGAAATTTCGATCCTTGATTAAGATTGCTCCGTGCTTCAGCAAGGAATAGAAGACAGTAATGGCGCCATTTGGCAAGTATTTTTAGAAGAATCTTTTAATAATTTTACTGGCCAAAAAAACATAAGCTTTTGGGGGATTGTCTTTAAAGACAAAGACTATTTGGTAAAAGGCTCGGTTTATCAAGCTTTTGAAAACATGTTTGGAGGCTATCTATCACAATGATCATGAAATTTGGCATATTTGGTCTTTTTCGGGTCTTTCCGCACACACGTCTTCTTATCTTTCCAGCTTTTGGTTATCAGATACAAAAGGACCGATTTTCAGTCTTTCAAGCTTATTGCAGCTCAGAAAAGTGCAAAGAAAGACTAGAGGTGGATTCAAGTCGAGCCGAGCCAAGCTAAATACTTGGATATTTGAGCTTGTCTCACAAGAATAATATCAGGCTCGACTCGAGCTAGAGACTTGAGCTTGAGCTTGAGCTCGGCTTGGTTCATAGCTTGTAAGTTCGAGCTTGGCTCGGTTCAAGTTCAACTATAAGCCAAGTTTTTTTGAAAAATAAAAATTATATGTATAAAATTATTATTTTTATTTTTAGACAAAAAATAAGAATTATAAAAATTATTTACTATTATACATAAAAAATAAAAATTTTATTATATATATATGTATGTATATATATAATAAAAATTATTTATTTAATACTAAGCTCGCGAGATAAGTTTCACTAGGCTTGAACTTGACTCGATTAGCAAACAAGCTTATATATCGATTTCAAATTCAACTCAAAACTCGATTTAAACCGAACCAAACCAAACTTTTCACGAACCAAACTCGAATAGCTCATTAAAGACTCAACTCGTGGCCATCCATAATAAAGACTTACCAAATATCACCTTTCTAAATAATCCCATTTCAAATTAGCGATGGCCGCAATTAAGCATCGAGGAAGAAGAAAATATAGACTTTTCATAAATTTTGCCTGGCAATTACGCTTTACTATAACTGACTGAGGCAGCAGTTTGATAATCGACATTTGCAGCTGTAAGTGTATCCATGGATACTTTCTTATCCATTCACGGTGAGCACCATGTTTGGATGGTGATGGGGAAGCTTCAGCAGCAGATCTGTGGTCTGTTTGGATCACCATGATAATTGACAGTTACTTCACCATTATAATTGGGAGCAGACCGCAGTGACAGAAGTGAGTTCCTTTTTTGTTGGATAATAACAACCTTCCAATTTTTGAGTTGCCATCTTCTCCCAAGCAAAACTGTTTCTCACCTAATCTGCTTCATGGGCCGGCCTTCCGACCCAATTGTACACTATTTTGGGTATGGACTTTAGGCCGGGTCCATTCAAATTTGGCAAAAACCAAGTTCGGGCCCAGCTCATAAACAGGTCTAATCTCACCTAATAAGCTAATAGTAGAACTCATCATAAGACTAGGACCCACTATCTATGCATGAGATGTACAGATATGAATTGGTTTTTTGTCTAACAGCTTTGATTAATCAAAAGCCTTCATAAATTTTCATGAATACCATACGATTGACTATCACTTTTATCCCCTAAAATTACAATCAGATTCACCCATTCAAGCTCAACTTTACACTATCTTGGTCTCAGGCCCATTAGAATTTTGGCAGAAGCCGAAACCGAGCCCGGTCCAGGGACAGGGACAGGTCAGACAAGAATTAGAATCAGATTTCATAGGATATAAGGGTTAAAGAGAAATAAGGTTTGAGAGGCCCATTACCATTGATTGATCAACTCATGGCCCAACTCCTGAGTCTCTGACTGCCTGCGCCTGGGTGTTTTATATTATTATATACAAACAAAAGCAGAGTAGGCGTAGCGCTCGGCGATCATCCAATTCTCCATCGATCACGAATGGAGTCATGAACGCGTTTTTGCGGTGACAGCTTTCAAAATTTCAATAAAATGATGGAAGACGACAGAACTCCAAAAGTCGGCTACGTATAATATTAATAGCGGAGGAGGGAGTCCGGATCTGCTCCCCACGGAGAGGTTCCACAGCACGTCTCAGCCGCATATTAGGAATATCTCCCGTCCTTCTATGCTGTTATTCATGGGATTTGCCGTAAGTCGATGTGTGGAGCAAATTCCTATTCAGAGGCAACCCAACCTCGCGAGAGACTAGGTCTGCTCCTCACAGAAGACGCCTTACACCGACCTCACACGAACATTCTAACCGCGCCTCACCCCGCGATTAGAATTTAGAAAGTGGAGGTATGTCGTCCTGGTTGGCCCGCCAGGCATTTTTGTCGGTGATGACTGATGACAGAACTCGGAACTTCTTCACCTTTTAGATAAAACACCGACACTTCAGAACCACATCAATTTCCTGTTTCACTGTTCAAAATCAGTTTGATGGATCAGACCTCTGCCACCGTTGATCATTAGATTAACGATTCACAATGTCATACACATACGGTCATTCTTCTTTTAGTTTTTATTAGTCAGCGATTCTGCAGTCCCTGACACGTGGCAAGTCATTTTTCCAACGACTGTGATCTTGACCGTCGATCAACCTTAGCAGAAAATTTGAAAAAATAATAATCAATTATAACAGCTGGAGAAACCTACAAGCTGTCAAGCCACTCACCCCTCCCTCCCTCCCTCGTCAAAGAAAAGAGAAGGAAACGGGGGTTAACACGTCGAAGTCCACAGCTACTGACCAGAGAGTAAAAGATTAAAATGAAAGAAGGGTAGTTTTGTGATTTCCTCTGCAACGACTTGTGAAAGGAAAGCAACACGGGAACAGTTCAGATCTGCTCCCATCAAACGCTCCCAAATCTGCCCCAACGGGTCATTACCGCCGTACATCGGAAACATCTCCGACGAATGAGAAGGGAGATGTTCCCGATGTGCGGCTGTAGTGGAATGTTGGGACAAGGGTTGAGAGCGTCTTATTGGTAGCACCGTAGCAGATACCGACCCGCCCGGTAACGAGATTCCCACATGGACCCAACCAATGACTCTCGACCAAACTTCGTTGCATCCAGTTCTTTTGCCTCTCTCATTTATTAGTAGAACTGAAATTATTAAGACGCAGAGAGAGAGAAAGAGAGAGGTATAACAACACATCGGTCGATCGCTTCCTTCAGAGTTCAGACTAACTAATACGTAAATTTTATTTAATAAAGGATTAATTCCCTCTTTCTCTCTCTCTCTCTCTCTACCAAATTTGTTTTATCAGTGCATCTCTGATTCACCTACATTTCTAAGCTTCAGTACCACTAAGCATTGTAAGCGAATTAGGGTTTCCATTGTTTTCTGTCGAGCGAAAACCAGATTTCCTGCTCGGGTTTCGATAGATCTGGTTTGCCGACGCACTAATTTCTAGTTTCCTGGAAATGCTAGTGGATTTACAGCTCTTCTCACCGTGAGTTCTTTTTTGCTAGGTCGGTATTCTTCTACAAGTATGTCGATCACTTCACCTGTAACACCTGGTCAGGTATGCTACGTCTTGGATGAACGATGATTTTGATTTACTGTGTTCTCAGATCTTTAGCTGTTGAACATGTTTTCTGAGTAATTTAAGTTATGATCCACTGCTAGAACTAGCTGCAACTCGTCAATTTAGTTGTAAAGTTGCTGGAGTATAAAGGGTGTTTGTTGGATTTGATCTTTAAATCCGGACTATAGGCAATTGGGCTGATGAAAAGACAATTCTTCGTATTTAGTTAGTGTTTCCTCTTCGTATCCAGTCAAGATGAAAGTTCTTCGTGTAGTCTGCCCATGGAGTACAATTTTTATCTTATTTCAGTTTTAGTTTATTGTTTATTTCCCATTACCTCTCTTGAATCGTATTTATGTGTACTCACTGCTCAAAAATTTTGAGGCAGGTAACTAAAAGTCCAATTCTAATTTACACCGTTCTCGGCGTCCGAGGTTTATCTGAAGAAAAATAATTATTCCAAACTCTCTACTTGTGCTATCCACGCCCTTTCATTGACTGCATTTAACAATTGAAATCAATAACCTGCTTTCTATAATAACAGGATAACAGCTGGTTGTCTGTATGTTTTAAGGCATGATACAAGTACCAAAAAAAATCCTAACACTATTATACATTTTTATAGAGTTGTGGTCAGATATATCATACTTTACCTTAGTATCTAATAGAGTTTTTTAAATTAGATTAGTGCTTTGTACTGACCAAAGTCTGTTGTTCAAGACCCTCCTTGGGAAAAGCAAAGTCATATGCAACTATAGCACATGTTCTTTTGTGTGTGTTTTTTTCAACATTGCATTTTTGTCATTCCTTCATATTCTATCATATGAATCATCATCATCATTATCCAAGCCTTATCCCAACTATATGGGGTTGGCTACATCATCATCATCCAAGCCTTTTCCCAATATTTCAGTGCTTAAATCATTTCTTACTACCTCTTCTTGCAACAGGTCACTTCTTCTTGTAGGTTATGTTGTCTGTTGATGGTCTTCTATGCACATGACCAAACCACCTTAGTCTACTTTCTCTTATTTTATCACCTATTGGAGCTACTTCTGGGTTCCTTCTTTTATTAATTTTTTTGGGTAGACTTGTAGGTTCCTTTGAATGACTTCATTTCTGGTCCTATCCTTTCTAGTTCTTTCACTCATCCATCTCAGCATACATGTTTCTGCCACACTCATTTTTTTGAAAATGTGAGAGAAATATTTCTAATTTGATTAGACCAGATATATCTGCTCCTGTGTCATGAAATATTATTAAGGCTTCATTTGGGAAGAACTCAAATGCTGGATTGATACATATATGCACTCTAGTTCAGTTTTGCAGGTATTTGGTAAGAATACATTTGTACTGAAAATGACAGCAATCACGAATTCCAAGACATGGTTGCATCCAAAAAATAGATGCACACTTTGCACTCAAAGTTGACCAATGTAAAAAAGGTGGATTCCAGTCCTGGAATTCATGTTTGTATCCACCACAACCAAAACCATTTGGTATGAATACAAAATTTGTCAATGCAAAGCTAAACCAACTTTGCATTTTCATGAACCGTGCATATTTGTATTTGCACCCTTCCCAAAAGGAGCCTAAGATGCACTCATGCACCTTCTTGCCTAAAGTGCAAACCCAAGATGTAATTGCAACACACAAGTGGACCATATATCTGTTAATATGGGATTAATGACCATAAGTTGATTAGCTAAAGTTATATATCTTTGGTGTGGTCTTTAGTTATTTGCTATTGTTCATAGATCAAAGGTTCATTTATTAAGAATGCCTAATGTCTGTAGGAGTCCAGACCTGGATAGATGCACCATGAGACTTGATGTTCTATTTATTATCAATCTTTTTTTTTTTCATTTGTTATTATCCAATCTATACCTAACGGGGTTCAATTGAATATTGATTTCAGGTGTCATTTTTACTTGGAATCATCCCTATCATTGTGGCATGGATTTACTCTGAGTTTCTGGAATACAAGAAAACTTCAATTTCTTCAAAAGTGTGAGTTGATTTTTTTAATCCGGTGCTTACATTGTTGCTTCTGATAATGTTGATATAGATTTTATTTTTTTCTTTGCTTTTTTTAGACTAAAATAAAAGAAACTTATTGTGTGTTTTTTGGTACATCAAAAGTAAATATCTTTTATTAAGTTGGCTAGTCCCCTGAATAACACTGGATGCTAATTACAGGGTTGGCTTCTCAATTACATATTGGAAACCTCAAATGCACCTTGTTTAGCCAAGGGAACCTCAAGATAACCTTGGGATCTATGAGAACAAAATGTTCAATTTATGCTGAGGTGTTAATCTTTCCCAAAGCTCTTGCAAATCTTGATGCACCCCCCCCCCCCAGAAGATACCTTCTGCCCCATAGTGTTGCTACAGTAGCTCTAAAAGTGTCACAAATAACAGAAAACCCAGTTTTTTTCCAAATTAGGACCCTGGGATGCTGCCCCTGTGTGAAGTTGTAATTGTAGTCCTTGTTTTGCCTACATTAGAGGCCTTCTAACGATGATACCCCCTCTCACCAAAGAAAAAGCAAAAGAGCATAGCCTTAGAAACCAAGTTGCTAAATGGTCATAATATAATACATTAAATATTATCTTGTTATTCTATCTAATTTTACATGCTAATTTATGTACTAACAATTTGCTCTCATGAAAGTTCATGTACTTGTATGTTGCATACACACATTTATTTATGTCATACTGCTCATATATAGTGTTTTTCTTGGGCATGGTTTTAGAAACTAACTTGTGTCAGTAGTTCCCATAGACACTATAATAATAACAAATATATATATATATATATATATATATACATGTGTTTTGACCTAGTCAGAACACCCTAATGGTGTACATTGTAACCAAAACAATGTTGAGATTTAAGGTCCAGATTATCACACATCTGTTCTCCTAGATATTTTGTTTTTACAATTTTGGAATTTGGGGTCTAGCAGATTCTAAAGTGTGTACTCTGTTGAATTTATTTATTTATTGCTTTGTAGAGGCAGGCATTCCGACATCAATTTGGTTGAGTTGGGCAAGGAAACTGTTAAGGAAGATGATAAAACTGCATTAATAGAAAGTGGGAATCTCCAATCAGCTTCTCCTAAAGCTCGAAGTTCATCTGTTACATCTCACCTTGCTAGGTTTGCAGAAGAAAGCAAATGTCTTCTTAAATTTTTATTTGATTTTTGACACCATAAGTTAAAGATGCCTTGCCATTGTGAATTTTTTTTTCAGATTCTTTCTGATGGACGAATCATTCTTGACTGAAAATCGATTATTATTGAGAGCCATGTGCGTGAAACCCCTTCAAAGAGTTTGGTTATAATTTATATGTATAAAAAATTTATCATCAGCTGATTTAGTATTTTTGGCTTTCAGATCTGAATTTGGTCTCATCGTGTTCTACTTTTACATATGCGATCGTACAAATGTCTTTGGAGAATCAAAAAAGGTGCTGCTTTCTTCCTTTGCCGGCCCTTGTAATGTTGCCAATTTATGTATCTATTTAACCACATTTTGGCAATCAAAGAGCATGTTTAAAACAGTTTCTTGTTGAACATCTTAATGAGAGGGATAATAAGAATGGTCGTGTCTCATTACTTGCCAAAACTACATCACTTCTTGCATGGGGACATATTCCAGTGTCAAGCAATCAAACCCCACTTAACTCATAAACGAAATTCCATCGGAGAATCTGTTTTTTTCTGGCTAGATCAAATACTGTGAGGTTTAATTCATCAAAGAAGTAGAATTTCTCTTATGCTTGAATAGAGATTTAATTAACAAAATCATATTGGTTTTAATTATTTTTTTGGTGGAATTTATGGTCTTCCATGAAAAAATAATAAATTCAAACTCTTTGTATTTTGCATCCATCTCAAAGAACTATGGAGATGATTGAGTTTCCTATAGATAAAGAATTAAGCTTATGGATAAATGACTTAGAAACAAGAGGTTTTAAAATAAGTAGAACAAACAGAATATATGATATGTAAATTTACTAATAATAGGAGTACAAATCAGGGTGCACATAGGATTGGAGACCAAGAGACACAATGTGACATTTTCCAGTACATTGGTTCAAGAATTCATAACAAGGGAGAAACTGAGGAGGATGTCGCCCATAGGATTAGAGTAGGAAGGGCAAAATAAAAGGGTGCATCCAGAGTTTTAGGCGATAGGCAAATACCACTTCGATCAAAAGAAAATTTCTGTAAAGTAGTTGCAAGGCCAGCTATGCTGTATGGAGCAGTGTTGGGAAGTCAAGAAACAACATGTCCAAAAAATGAGTGTGGCAGAAATGCAGTATGCTGAGATGGATGAGTGAAAAAACTATAAAGGATAGGATCAGAAATAAAGTCATTCAAAGGAGCCTAGAAGTAGCTCCAATAGGTGATGAAATGAGAAAAGAGAAAAGTAGACTAAGATGGTTTGGTGACATGCATAGAAGACCATCATTGTCACCCATAAGAAAAAGTGGCTTGTTGCAAGTTGAAGGAGCTAGAAGGGTTAGGGGTAGACCAAAGGACATGGGTATGGTAAGAAATGATTTAAGTGGCAATAATTTAACAAATGTCATTAAACAGAACGGAATGGTTTGGTGACATGCATAGAAGACCATCATTGTCACCCATAAGAAAAAGTGGCTTGTTGCAAGTTGAAGGAGCTAGAAGGGTTAGGGGTAGACCAAAGGACATGGGTATGGTAAGAAATGATTTAAGTGGCAATAATTTAACAAATGTCATTAAACAGAACGGAATGGCAAAACAGACCCCATATAGTTGGGTTAAAGCTTGGATGATGATGATGATAAAGAGATGTCCAATTTACTCTTAAAGTGGGGTATTTGTAGGTATTATCACCTGGTTAAAATAGTTTATAGTGTTATACTTCTTGATGCCCGTTGTTTGAAATTCATATTCTACACCATTTTACTTTTGCCTTTAATGTGTTACACCAATTAAATAAGAATTGCTCATGTTCAGCAGTGATTTGCCCACTAGCAACTTTTCTTGGCATTAACTTATTTTCATTGGTTGATCATCACCTATGTTTGCAGACTTACAATCGGGATCTTTTCCTATTTCTCTACTTCCTTCTCATCATTGTCTCAGCGATGACTTCTTTTAAGATCCACCATGATAAGTCACCATTTTCAGGGAAATCCATACTTTATCTGAACAGGCATCAGACTGAGGAATGGAAAGGATGGATGCAGGTTTGTAATTACACAGCATGTTTCTTATTCTTGGAATTCTCTTTTTTTATGCATGATCATGTGTTTATTTTCTGTTTACACTCTCTCATATAGAAGACAACCCTAAACAGTTGCTAGAAGACATTTTGGAGTGAAATTCAGTGTTTACTAACATTGGGTGATTGATTTGTGCAATTTCTGCACTTTATCATAGACGCGACATTCACTTTCAATGAGATAATTCGGTGTCCCAGATATTTTTTTTGGTAATAAATAAAAAATTATTAAGAGAGAAAAAAGAAATACAACAAGGTTAAAATATATCACCTAAAAAGGTCAAACACCCAAGCCCACCAAGCCTTCTAGCCCTTCTTAGTACAGACAAATAATTCCCCAAACCTGACTTCCAACCAACAGAAACTCACAAACCAAGGCAAGAAGTTACATAGCCCAGCCTTCTCTCCTAAACACTCCAGAGCAACCCCAGACCCTGATACAGTCAAAAGAACAGATCTCCCCTTTGAAACTACTCTTCATTCAGCAGGTATCTCTTTTCCATGTCAAGGAACATTTTTTCAGAAATCCTTCCCTTCCTAGGACATACGCCCCTAAAACCTTACTTGCTTCTTGTACTTGAGTTTCTGCTAATTTTTCAAAATCCACCTTTTGTTCTGCTTCCCTGACTTGATCAAGAGGAACCCCTTCGCCTTCCTTCTCTCCTTTGCTCTCTTCCTCTGTTTTGGTTCAGCATCCCCAAACCCCTTCTCAATTATTATAGCTTCTTCAGATTGAGCATCTATGTTTTCCCCTGATTTTTTTCTTATCCAGACCCTTATTTACTAAATCCAAACCAGAGCTAAATCTTTGGATTATTTTGATGCCTCACCCTCTCCTTCATTCCCCTCCTCTTATCGTATCTCTTATACTTGCTACAGGGGCCAACCCCAATAAGCTTAGTGCATGCCCATACAAGTAGATTGTGTACCAATTCTTGTTCGTAAAGCACTTCCTTTAATCCAATACCAGATTAAGTATCTACAATTTTTTTAATAAGGATGGACAACATTGTCGGTTAATAATGGCATGCTATAAAATGGGCCTTATTCCTACTACTCTTTTTCTTCAGGTATTATTTTTAATGTATCATTACTTCGCTGCGGCGGAAATCTATAATGCAATCCGTATTTTTATTGCTGCATATGTGTGGATGACTGGATTCGGAAATTTCTCTTATTATTATGTCCGGAAAGATTTCAGTCTTACAAGGTTTGCTCAGGTAAATTCACTCCAACTTCGAAATCATCCTTCTACTCGTATCCAATTTGTTTCTGACAATTACCCTTTTTTTCAAGCAGATGATGTGGCGGCTAAATTTCTTTGTAGCATTTTGCTGCATTGTCCTTAACAACAACTATATGCTATACTACATATGCCCCATGCACACCCTTTTCACTCTTATGGTTTATGGTGCTCTTGGTATTCTAAACAAATACAATGAAATTGGATCAGTCATAGCACTAAAAATTGCTGCCTGCTTCATGGTGGTCATTCTGGTCTGGGAAGTCCCTGGTGTATTTGATGTGGTTTGGAGCCCATTTACCTTCTTTCTTGGTTAGTAACATGCCAAATCTCATTTCCATTATCTTCGCTTGGATAATTGCTGAAGCCATACAAATTTGCAGGTTACAGTGACCCAAATCCGTCAAAACCAAAGTACCCTCTCTTGCATGAGTGGCATTTCCGCTCAGGCCTTGATCGCTACATATGGATCATTGGGATGATCTATGCTTACTATCACCCAACTGTAAGTTCAATCATGCATCTTTTTTTATTTTCCAGGTATTAATAATATCTTGTTTATCACTGATAAAAAAATAATATCTTGTTTATCCTCTTATGGATTCTTCCTTGTGTCATGACTAATGTATTTGCATTTTGTCAATTTAGGTGGAGAGATGGATGGAGAAACTGGAGGAAACAGAAACAAGGCGCAGAATATCTATCAAAATAGCTGTTGCAACTGTTTGTTCAGTGGTAGGCTGCAAAATCTTGTGATCTCTGTCCAATGTGATGGTTAACTTTGGTGTTTAAGTTTTCATTTCTGATTTATAACTTTTTTATAAAATTTCAGATGGGATATCTGTGGTTCGAATATATATATAAACTGGACAAGGTTGCATACAACAAGTATCACCCTTATACATCATGGATTCCCATAACGTATGCATTTTCTTTCCTAGAACCTATCAAGAATTTGAATTATTCACATATACTATTGCTTATTAATGTACTTTTCTATTTTTTGTTGATCAGAGTCTACATTTGTTTGCGCAATGTTACTCAGCAGTTCCGTAGCTACTCTTTGACCCTTTTTGCGTAAGTGGCTTTTTACTTTTTGCAACCATTCAAGCCTGTTTTTCTATTTATCTTCTTGAGTAATGCATTCATTTCAGATACTGCAAAAAGCTTTCAACTCTTGCAGTTTGTTGTTTTTGGCTCCCTTTTTCCCTTTCTTTTGTTTTCATTTTCTTTCTAAGAAATATATGAGATGTGTTTGTATTTTGTAATCCAATAGATGGCTTGGGAAGATTACACTGGAGACCTACATCTCACAGATCCACATCTGGTTAAGGTATGTATGAACCCGTAACTTGAGAAACTTGTCAAAGCAGGACTAACAGCGGCAAATTAAATGATGCATTCAAGTTTTTCATACATCACGAAACAAGCTGTGGTGATTTACAGCTTATACTAGAGTAATTGATTGAAATACTTTAAATATCATGGATGTGAATATCAAGGTTCTCTTTTAACTATGAATGCAGCTATAGTTTGTCATTTATTATATTGGTTATGAGGTTTCCATGTTTGAACTCCTAGATCCCCTCCTAGGGGTATCATGGCCAGGCTGGACTAGGCTTTGGGCCTAAGTCATTAAATACATTAGATTTTTTGGTAGAATAATAATATAATATTTTATATTATATGACATAATACATGCATAAAATATGCATAATAATTTATATAAATAAAAAATGTTATATATAATATATGATGCCCATCATTTTATAATATTTATATAATAATATAAAAGTAAACATATAAAACATGTGTTATATAAAAGAAATTTCTCGTTGTGCCCAAGCCTGGCCTGATTCAGGCCCAGGGCCAGGCTGGGCAGGGCTGAAAATGATTTCCCCTCCCTGCCCCCTAAAAATGGAAAAAGAAAGATTAATGCTGCATTGGAAGACCAAGTTTGTAGATAATCTCTTATGAGCTTTCTTTGTAGTCTTCGGAATATTATGTAGTTGTTGGGGCAAGTTGATATTCTCCTTTCCTATTTCTTAAACATGATCTATGTGAACCTGCAGATCAGGCGTGCCAGATGGACAGCCTCGATGGCTGCTATCTCTTATCCCAGACTATCCAATGCTGAACTTCATGCTCACTACTTCAATATATGTTGCAGTATGTTATCATTCACTATTAAGTTAGAGGGAGATAGGAAAAGCAAAACTGGTACCATCTAATTTCTCTGTACATTACTTTTGCAGATTTCACACAGAATCTTTGAGCTTACCAATACATTGAAGTCTTCTTTTGTACCAAGTAAAGACAATAAGAGATTGATGTATAACATGATTGCAGCTGCAGTAATCTCGATCATGTTGTACTCCTTGTCCTTTGTATTTCTGCAAATACCTAAAATACTGGTAAGATTTTATATCATGTCAATTTAAGTGGCCTGAGGCAGGTGCCCCTTGTGCCGAGTTGCATGAAATACTGCCATCTGTTCTTGGCCTGTCTCAATATTCACATTGTGACTAGTTGCCTCCTTGTGAACTACAATGCCTGAAACAGATGGCATATTTTCTTAGATAAAAAAACTCAAACCAAGTTTATATTAGGTCAATGATTGTTCTGACTGGTCTTCTGATACATAGTCTGACTTGTGCTGTTTAAACACATGCAGCATTGAGAAATTGAAGTTGTGTAGATAATCTACAAGCCTGAAGGGCTAAATCACATTGGAGTATGCTTTGGATGCTCAAAGGATATCTTAGTGGCAGAAGCTCTTGCATATTCAACAGAGATTGAATAATCAGGAGGCATGCACTGGCTGATAAAATCACTTGAAGTAAGAAGTTTGAGAGTGGGCCGTTATAGTAGAGGAGGTCTGTGCTGGCTGCTTTTGTATAAGAAAGGTTGGATTCAGCTTCCTCCAATTTGAGGTGCTGTTTTTGCTTAGTATTTCATACCATTTTGTCCATTGTAATGATTTCAATTTCATTATAGCATTTATTACGTAAAAATTTTGAGCAAGTTTGCCACTTCCATCATGGGCCACACACAACATTGGCATGTAACCCATTGAGGCAGCGAATTCTTCAAACAGCATTTCCAAGCGAAATATGGTGATGGAGATTTATATAGTCATTGCGCTATTAGTCTATTGGATGATTACTGTGACGGTGTGACCCCCTCGCTGTATTGTTCGGTCGCTTGGTCCAATTGATCTTTCGTGTTTTCACTTTTCCATAGTGCCATCTTGTATCTCTGGAGTGGAGTCGGGGAAAATATATGATGCCGGAAAAGCTTTGAGCAATCAAAGCACCCTGAGAATTGTGATGAATACCCCCTGATTAGTTATCTTTTTTATGATACCGGTTGATTGGCTGCGGTATAATGGTCCAACCCAGTTTGGGATGTAGTTGAAGTTGAACCCAACTTGTGGTGCCGGGCAACCATTTGTTGGATACGATGGTTCCCTCCATCTCCAGGTGATTCCTGAACATCACCATCAAACAGTCGGAGCAGACTTTTATCATACTAGTAGGATTGTGCTTGCTCCCTAATATGGCGTGCAGATGCCTTGCACTAATAAACCACAATTCCACAAAACAAAAGGCCCTCTACTGGCCGGTGCCAGACTGCCGGTTACGGTGATATGATGGAAATTTTCATAAGCAACTTCTCTCGTTACGTGTCTTGGATACCGTAGTAAATAGTAAATGAGTAATCCAATTGTATAATCTAATACATCCAATTATGGGTGTCATTATGTCAGTAAGACTGACGTCATGCTAGTTATAGGGTCCCACCGCATGTTGCTTTTTTTTGGATTAAGTAGACTGCACTTCATCTCAGAATTTTAGAATTTTGAATTTCACTGCACCTAACCCCATTATCCTCTCGTGTATTAACATCAATTCCGAGTTGTCACCTGTCCCAACTCTATTTTTTTCAATTGTGGTAGGGCCCCAAAAAGGATAAAAAGGCATTACGGGTTACCCCCACTGTCACAAATTATGACGTATACGCTCCCACTTGGGTTGGGGAGATATTAGGCGATGATCCCTCCTAAGTGCAATGGAGGTCGGCAGCCTTCCTGATCACCTACCGCATGCCGCATTTAGCCACTATAAATAAAGTTTATTATTGTTCATCATTAGTGTAGTTGGTTCCTTTAGTTTTCTAGATCCGCCTTTTTTAAAATATATATATATACATTACAAAGACCCCCTGTACTTTGTTTTGCGATAAAGACTCTCTTATACTATGACCATGAGATAAAGACCCCCCTTGACCGTTAAGTCAGATAACGAAATGTACTAAATTACTAAAATATTTTATTAAACCTTTTCTATTTTCCTTTTTTTACCTTTTTTCTCTTAAAACCTACTTAATCTATTTTTTTCCCTTTCTTCTTTTCTTTTCCCCTCTCTTACCGTTCTCTCCCATTCTTTCTCTCTCCCAACTCTTTGAAATGAATGGATGGAAAAAACCCATTTATCATCTTCCCTTTCTTCTTTGTCTTCAATCTCGTCTCTATATCCGTCGCCAACAATGTCGCAATCATGGGAAACTGCAATGCTTGATAGTCCAACAACAAATGTATGCCCATATCACCAAGAAGATCGCCCAACTTCAAGCTCTTAGTAAACTTAACCTGCACGACAACGTTATCACAAGGGCAAGAGAGAATGGGGGCGAGAGGGACTGTATCTAGGATTTGCTCCATTGCCTGGATTTCAGGGATCTTATCCCTGAGCCGAGTTTCAATTCCCATCTTCAAGGTTGTTTGGCTGTAGTTTGTTATATAGAGAGGATTTCTTAAGTGAAGGAAAGAAGATAGTGAGAAGAATGGCATCCAGGCAGCAGAGAACCAAACTTGGTGCCAGAGCCAAGCAGGGAGAGACTGTAGTCCCTAGTGGAACTAGAGGGAAGAGCCTCGCAGCACAAGAGCATCTCACCGAAGGGAGGAGATGTGGAGGGCAAATGAGGAAGGAGCAGCTAGGCATGGAAGGATACCAAGAGATGGGGCAGAAGGGTGGACTTAGCACCATGGCCGCCAGAGCCGCCTCCCTTTGAACACTTGCGGAGCCAGAGCCGGCATCATGTCCTGACCTGAAGACCCCGTCGCCGCTACTAATCCTTCATTTACCGATGGAGTTACCACCAAGGACATCCACATAGATGCCTTCATCACCCTCTCCATTTGAATTTTCCTCCCCGACACCTGCCTCCCCGCCATTGATTCTAAATCTCATTCCAATTCTAGGGCTAGGGCTAGAACTTCTTGCAAATCGTTAGATCTCGATTTGACATCTACCGCTCTCAGTGCAAATCCCAACCTCCAGAACCTTTGTCATAACAACTATGGCGCTCCTGGAACGCTCAAAACCTATTATGCTGCAATTTCACAGTGGCGGAAGTTGCCTATCTAGTTGCATTTGAGGACAGGTTGAAAATTTTGAATTGGTTAGGGAAGCAAGCAAATGGAGAGAGAGAGAGAGAGAGATCGGAATTTGAAGAAAGCAGTAATGGAGAGAGGGATCGGGATTGAATTAAATGGGTTCAATCCCAACGCTACTAAGGGGAAGGGCAAGAAGAGAGATCGGGGGATAGAAAGGGAGAGAGAAATGTGAAGGAACGGAATGATAGTATTGGAAGGTCGGGAAAGATGAACAGTGTTTTTTTCATCTAATTATTATAAAGGTAGTATGGGGATTAAAAAATATTATAACAGCCTTTTTAGACAGAAGGCTAATGGAAAAGGGTCTTTGTTGCAAAACAAATACAGGGAGTCTTTGTCACAGACCCCATAATAAGGGGATCTTTATAATTTACCCAAAAAAAACCCTAGACAAAGTGAAGGTAACAACGTGCAATTCATGTTTTTTGTTTTTCCTCAAGGCATTGGGAGTGGATCTCACGTATAATAATAATAATAATAATAATTAGGCTTTGATCGTCGTGACTTGCCACCAAAACTCGATAATTAGGCTTTTGCGGTCAACCGAGCCCTTTCTTAAACCCATTCCTGCCCTAATTGTCAAACTCCCTTGATCGGGCATTCGAGATATGGTGGTGAGATCGTGTTATAGGGGGGGCGGGGGCTACTAGTAGACTAGGAGGGGGCATCCTAGGGGCTGCAAATCAGATTTATGAGGGAGATTACAGTCCAAAAATCCCAGAAGTGTGTAGTTAAATGCAAATATGCGCTGAGAGATTATCAATGCAAGCACAGGCTGGGTTTGATCTTTGATGTTTGAAAATTGAAACCAAGTGGGTTCCCAATATTCCACGGATGGGTACAACCGTATAAAAGTAAAACATATCCTATAGAGGGTAACTTTGTTGACATATCTGCATTTACTGCATACAGTTGCGAGCGCCTAATTCAAGGTTACCGCATTCGGAGATATGTAAGTAATTGATTGACCAAAGTACGATGAAATATTATACTACATTTGGACATCTTACAGCTTCCATATCATATTCACCTCAACCATAGCCTAACGTTCCAAGAGTAAAGAAAATAACATCTGATGATTTCCACTGCTTTTCCAGTAAAAGGGGAATTGTGATATCACATTAGAATATGAACGGAAAATGGGGGAAGAAAGATACGGAAGAGGATGAGTATTATGTTCTAAACTTCTACCACCACCTCCCACCGTATATAGAAAAAAGAAAATTCACCTCAATGTGTAAATGACACAGTAACTGATTAGCATTTCCCGCAATCTCAGCCTTTAGGGCCAAAAAGGAGTACTAAAATCAAGTACCCGAAGTATTGCTTCCTCTCCTCCCTATCCCCCTCCCGCTTCCTGTAGAGCCTCTGAAGAACTCGTTTGGCTTCACACTGAGGGAAATTGGCAAGATCATAGTAGTGGGGAACTATGTCCACTAGCCTGCAAAACAACAATAGAAATGATGAACACGCTACACAAAGTAGCACAAATCAACAGGATTCCTGAATCAGATGCCAATGTAAGACACGGGGCCTCATTAACACAAAACATGCTACCTTAGTTGATTCTATAGAAGAAAAAAAGAAACAAAACTTCCAACTTGAAGAGCTACACCTCCAACTCCATAGTTGATTCTATAAAATGCTATCCTGATGTCTTCCTTTCTGAGCTTCCACTAACTCTTTTATAGACCTCAAACTGCATCCAACTCACTCCTTGGTCCCTACCATTGCAATAGTTAGCCTACTGTGCAAATTCCAACAGCATCTTATCCACTATTATCACTTGGTCATTTACTGGGGTCACTCCTAGATCCTAGAAGTATTGATTTCTGCATCTTAATTCCAATTTTGTCACTCATTTCAAACCCCCCATCTTTATTTTTTCACTGGTAAAGTTTTCGTTTTTATTAAACCATTCTATAGGCGTGTTGTTTCTTAAATTCCCATTTAATTCATACCTTTGATTATAAAGCACCTTACAACAGTTATTTGTTTTACTACCTCCATATTATCTAATCATAGTCAATTAACACCATCTCGTGAAGATGTACTGGAACAATTTCAACCTAAGTTGGACTTTTGAAAACTGGAGTAGATACCATCATATAAGCATTTCTAATTGAAGTATTTAACTTTTATTTATTTATTTTTAACTGGACGTTTCTAAATGGATCTTTAGCACTAGGACTTGATATAACTAAAATATTCAGAAAAGTTAGTTCGATCCTACGGGGATGATTCTACCCTACCAGAGACAAAAATCAACCTTAGCTTCTCACTAAGATGAAAGATACCAAAGAAAAAGCAACATAAAAGATACATGATTCCTTTGTGTCCCTTATCTTATCAGCAGTGAAAAGATCAACATAAAAGATACCAAAGAAAAAGAAAAATAGGAGAAAGCATTGCGAAACCAGCTCTCATACAAAATATTTATGTTGCATCTTAAGTAATAGGCATACCCTTAAGGTCAATTGATTGACCAAAGCAAATTTGTAAACCAAAAGCCAACAAATGCAAGATTAGATTATCTATACACTAAGCCTAAACTGAAGCATAACTTAAACAGAGAAAGCAAATTTTCAGACTAGATTAGTGCAAAAATGCATGATTCCTAACAGAGTTGGGCATCAGAAAAACAAGCTACAGATGTTTAACTAGAAATTTGTTGGTGTCATACCATTCCCCACAAA